CAAACTTTAAAGCATTTTCAATACTTATTTTGGTGGTAGAGTTGATACTGTTATTATGACTATGTTTTCTGTGTCATCTGGGATGAAGCAATTGAGTCATCAATAAGATATTCTACATCCTGATGTCCCTGAGAACCAGGATTCTTGGTATGGAAAAAGGAAGCAGGAGATACATGATAGAAGGGGTTAAAGCCAACCTCTACAGTTCCAATTTTGAACTGGAAATATCAGTAAGAACTCTTGAGGTATGTTATCTTGACACGTATTTTTTCCTTAGCTCTCTCCACTGAAAAGCCCGAAAAACAATGACCAACTCAGTAGCAATAAATATCCCTATTTTTGTTGTGATCTTGAAATATCATTACCCATTAAAGGAAACCAAGGCTTCTTAGAGAAATGGCTGATTCCACGTCTGGGGCAGCAAGAGTTTAAGATGAGCCTGCAATATTAGTCATTCCAGATAGCAAGAAAGCTACTAAAGGTTTGTGTTCAAAGGACTCAGGACCCAACCTGAAGAGATTCCTGCTAGCCAATGAAGGAATGATTTCACCAACAGTAAGAATAAACTGCAAAGGAGTGAAATGAATCAAATATGTTTAAATCCATAGTAATCAACCCCTCCTGCCACTCCTCACCAAAAAATATCCCTAACTGGTCACCTGTTGAGGACACTAGGGAATCAACTCTATTCTGAAAACTGCTTTTCTTATATAAAAGTGGTCAACTAACCAGAATGGGAAGTTTCTTTTTATAGAAGTATTCCAACAAAAACTGAAGAAGGAATGATAGAATATCACCATTTGTAACCCCTAATGAATTAAGGAGCTAAGCACTGACCAATAACAGCTGCTAATATCATAAAAAGAAAGATAATGAGACATTATGGGTCTCTTGATGAAGAACACACCACCCCCCATGAAGTATCATCCCCAAAATAATGAAACCTGAATCTTACTAAGCATCCAGATCTAACCACCATAAAGAGGATTTCTAAATTCTGGTAGCAGTCTTATCTTGCTAATACAGTAATTATACTCCCAAATGAAGGGGATAAAACTTGCAAATTATCTAGTTTGCAATGCTGCTAAAACTGACAATCTCACCATCACTTAATTTTTAAGTGATATTGTAGACCATGAAAAACTACTGTAAATGACTATGATGACACTGTTGGAAATTCTGGTATATCAATGCCACTTCAGATTATAAATAGATCAGAACATTTTCACAATCATTGAAAACCAGCACCTATTTAGAAAAAAGAATCGGGAATCTGAAGAAGAACCATAGATCTTAAACCTAGATGAGACCTTATTGACAATAATTTCCAATTTGCTCGCTCGACACATAAGGAAATCTTTTAAAGCTACAGAAGCTGAAAGACTTATCCAAAGGTATACCACTAACTGGCACTGTGTAATTACATTCTAACTTAAAATTTCAATAAATTTGTAGTTGCAAATACTTATTATCTCATAACCTCTGAGCCAACTATAATTTATAAAGATGAAAAAAAGACTATTGTAATCGTTTTGAAAATATCCAAATTTTTGATAATAATAAATTATGATGATTCTAATAAAGCCTAGGGATTCCAAAGATTTGTGTATCACTACTTGTCAGTATTTGTTTGATTATGTTTATATCTTAGAGACTTATGGTCTGCAACTGTTATATAAACATTTAAGGCAAGAAAGGAAAAGGATACATTCATTTTCTGGCCAGAAACACACTGACCGCTAGCCTTTAGCAATTAAAGGCCAAAAATAAGGAATAAATATTCCAAAAAGATATGAAAATCTTTATAAGTTAATGATCACATACAGTGTACTAGACTGTAAATATTAAATATTACTCACCGATTCTTTCTCCACAATGCGGTTCAGCATGACAACTGCTTTGGTCTTTTGCTGCCAAACCATGAGCCAGAAGTGGCAGCACGTGTTAGGAAGTGGACCCTGTGAGAACAGAGCAGAAAGAGTAGATGAGGGAAGGGGACAAGAACGAGCAAGGCCGCAGGGAAAGCCTCCCCAAGTCTGCTTCTGGGATGCTAAAAGACAGGCTCAGGAGAAGTAGACCAAGACTTTTAATCTACTTGAATTCAAAAATAGGTCTGTACTAGTTAGAATTTTTGATTATAAATGATCAAAACTGACCTTTGTTTACTTAGGCAAAAAAGGAATTGTTTAAGATATCAGGTGGCTTTCAGAGTTGGCAGCTGGAGAACCAGGCTTGGGTAGGAACCAAGAAGTTAATAAGCATAGACAAGAGTCTGTCCCGAAGAGTCAACTTGGGACACTGCTCCTGATACTGGCACTACTATCGTATTGCTTTTGTTGGCACTGCCATAGGAAGGTGGCTGGAGCATTCATGCCTACTACAAGCAAAACAGAGTCAAAAATCACGAGTGGGAGTATCTAATAGGTCATGTTCTAGCTGTAAAGAAGGCAAAGGAAATTTCTGTCCCCTTCATCTTGTATAGCAGAAGAACAGGCTCTGTCTCCCATGAGTCATGGAAGATCCACGGCAAGAGAGAGTCTGTGCCGTCACTGGCCAGCCAACTAACCTAAGTCAACTATGAAACGATTTTCCAGAAAAAGTAGAAATCATGAAAGTACCTGAACCCCTGTGAAACTGTTAAATCCACAAAAGCACAATATGTGCAGCCTCAAGGGCAGAGTTAAAGGGGTAACAGTCCACATTACAATAATGCCATGGGGGAAAGTAAGTCATCTTACGACAGCGTAGGGAAAAAGAAAAGACAATGAAAAGTCCACGTCCAAACTGTAACTAATTTTAAATGAGTGAACATTGAAATGAAGTTTTATTGCATCTAAAATAACTCTGAGCATGCATTCAACTCACAGGGCAGTGTGGTAGAGTGGTGAGTTAAGGGGAGCGTCAGGACACTGGGGGCCACGGCCTCCAAGAGCTTCAGCCCCATGTGCAACAAGGGGATTCAAGTGGTTCTAGAACATAGACTAAACACGTCTTTGGGGCAGATGTACTCCTTGGTATGCAGCAGATACTCAATAAATATTACTTAAGTGAACAAACTCTAAGGTTAAGTTGTAAAAATGCTAGAAATCTACTGAGAATCATGAGAAAGCTGCAATCTAATGTTTGAGGACAATTTTGCGCACTCAATGTATGTGTCTATTGTTTCATCTACTTCAAAAACAAAACATACATTCTAAAGGTAAAAAGCAATGAGAAAATACCCAGTAAAGTGAATGCCCTTTTCTTTAATCTAAAAAATATGGATGTAGCAATTCACCAGTGAGGTCACTTCTTAGTGTGTACACACATACCCCAAACACATTGGTGGTTCTAAAGACTAAATAATAAATAGGAAAACAGTTGCTATAGTATAAAGAACACAGGTTTTGTTTTTTGTTTTTTTTTTCTTTTTTGGAGATAGGGACTTACTCTTTTTTTTTTGAGACAGTACAGCTCACGGCAGCCTCAAACTCCTGGGCTCAATGGATCTTCCTGCCTCAGCCTCCTGAGTAGCTGGAACTACAGGTACGTACCACCACACCTGGCTAATTTTTAAATTTTTTGTAAAGAAAGGTCTCACTATGTTGCTCAGGCTGGTGTCGAATTCCTAGGCTCAAGCGGTCCTCCCACCTCAGCTTCCCAAAATGCTAGGATTACAGGCATTGAGCCACCACACCTGGCCTAGAATACAGGC